ACAGAGAAACCTCCAAGTTGGCTGTTGTGGCCCACCAGTGGCCATCGGAGCTGGCAGCAGAGTCGGACAGTGAGGAGGTTGGGGAGGAAGATGGGCCAGTCCTGGAGTCTGGGGAAGGCTCTGATGAGGGCTCTGTGTCGGAGGCAGAAAGGGGGCCAGAGCCGTATGCCAGTTATCAGCTGCCTTCGGAGTCAGACATCAGTGAGGCAGAAGAACAGCTGGAGCCTGTTCCCATTTTGCGCATGCGCAGAGCTGCCAGATGAAGGGAAGAGCTAAAGAACAGCGGTCGACTTGGGAGTAAGGCTACAGGTGGACTGTGCATGGCCCCTCCCAGAGGAAATAAATAAAAGAGGAGTGAAAGGGGAGTGGAGTTTGCAGGAGGCAATTATTTCCTTCCTGCATTCTTGCCAAGTATTGCGGTGTCTGAAAGATATCGGCCTGGCCACTCTCCAAGCCTGATCAAGGTGGGTAATTGTGAATATATCTTGAAAGACTTTGGGAGAAGAAAGACTTTGCTGGAGAGGAATTCACTGTAAATTAAATAAAAGGGGTTTATCAGGACTCGGACTCGGCTTCGTGCTGCTGGGGAAGCCTAGGTGAGAACAATCGGCGCATGCAAGCTCTGTTTTGAGCCGCAATGACCTCCTGCAGCGAAAACGGAGCTCAGGAGGGCTGTGCGTGAACTCCCTGCATCCCTTTTTAGCTGGCAGAAGCACTGTGGGGCTGGTCCTTTGCTGTTTCCAGGGTGGGATCCGCCGCCACCACAGTTTGGTGAGTGAGTTTGACACCCCTGATCTAGGTTATCAAAGAGAAGGACTGGGATGGGGTGAAGGGACATTCGTCGCTGTCTTCTGAGACTTGAGGGGCAGTCCACCGAGAAGAGAGAATTGACCTACTCTCCAAAGAAGCTGAAGACGCTTTTGGATGAGAAGGCAAAGGTTTTTCAAAGGGGGGGGAGGGCCAAGAAAGTCCATGGGACGACAGGAGGGCGTCAGCAATAGAGCAGATGGGGGGAATATTTATAGAATAGCACGGGGAAACCACTCTGACGTACCAGGGCCTCCTTCTCTTCAGTTGGCACAGTAAGCAAGTACGGTTTACTTTGAGCATCTAAGGTGAGGCCTACCACAGAAGGAAATCTAGATTAAGGGAATCTTTTTAATGTTAAGATACAATATACAGAAGTGGCCAAAATTGTGGAAACCTTTTGGGGGGGAAAGTGTATTTTTGAGGTTTGGTGACTAATAACACCGCTTTTGGTTTTTTTAAAGTAGTACCATAAAATTGTAGATCAAGAGAAAGATAATTTAATCAAGAATGTAATGCGATAACTTTTATGAAGGATTTGCTAGTAGAATAGCCGTTATAAAGAAGAAAAGTAAAAGGAGATATACAAAAGTTATCACCATAGAAAAAATGAGGTATACAAAAATTATGTCAGTTAGTACTGTGTTTCCCTGAAACTACGACATGTCCTGATAATAAGGCCATGCCATATTTTTTGGGTGGGCCAAAAAATAAGCCCCCTGGACAACCCCACCTCAAGCCAGGCAGAGCGCCACTCACCAACCTAGTGATATCCCAAAAGCGCCAAGCCGCAGGAGCCGGGGGAAAGAGAGGGCAAAGGCGCTCATATTGCTTGCCGCCTTCGGGATACCGCTTGGTTGGTGAGTGGCGCTGTGACCAATTAAAGCGGAGGGTTGTCGGGCGGCTGCTCTCACAAGCAGTCACCCGGCAACCCCTCTTTCCAACCAGGCAGAGCGCCACTCACCAACCCAGTAATATCCCAAAGGTGCTAAGCCGCGTGGCACTGTGCCCGGCTAGAAAGGGAGGTTGCATGAGTGCCTGTTACGCTCCCAACTTACGTGCCTCCCAGCCTCACCATGCCGTGGCCCAGGTCTCTCTGCAGGGCCAGGGTGCCGCTGCCATCGCCCTGCCAACGCTGCGGCGCTCTGAGCATAACCAGCTTCCAAAATCCGGAAATCCGCTGCCGAGTCTTCCAGCAGTGGCCGCTCTGGGACAACCCTTTATGGTTGTGGGATGGCTGCCGGAAAAGAGTCTACCAACAGCCGGGTCCACAACCATAGAGCATAGTCCCAGAGCAGCTGCTGCCGAAAGACTCGGCAGCAGATCTCCGGAGTTTGGAAGCCGGTTATGCTCGGAGTGCCGCGGCGGTGGCAGGGCGATGGCAGCAGCACCCTGGCCCTGCAGGGAGACCTGGGCCACGGCATGGTGAGGCCGGTTATGCTCGGAGCGCGGCGGTGGAGGCGGCACCATGGCCCTGCACTGAGAGCTGGGCCAGGCCATGGTGAGGCTGGGAGGCAGGTGAGCTGGGGCAGAACAGGTGCTCGCGCAACCTCCCTTTCCAGCCCAGCAGAGCGCTACGCGGCTTAGCACCTTTGGGATATTACTGGATCGGTGAGTGGTGCTCTCCCCGGCTGGAAAGGGGGGTTGCTGGGCAGCTGCTCATGAGTGTGGTCACCTCATGGCTGCTGTGTTGCGTTGCTGCGATAGCACAACACAGCCATTTGCCCCTGAGGCTGTTTGTTCTTCGGGCGCCCGCTCGCAAGAGAACAGCCACCCGGCAACCTCAAACCAATAAGCGCTCCCCCCCCCCCGATAATAAGGCCCAAGCAACATTTTGGGAGTCAAAAGAAAATAAGACCGTGTCTTATTTTTGGGGAAACATGGTACTTACTGTGTTTTCCCAAAAATAAGGAAGGGTCTTATTTTCTTTTGACTGCCAAAATAAGCGCTTGGCCCTTATTTTCGGGGAGGTCTAATTATTTTTGAGGTGCAAGAGGCGGCGAGCGTGGTCACCTCATGGCTGCTGCTGTGTTGCAATATTTTTGGGAAGGGCTTATTTTCAGGGGAGGGCTTATTTTAGTCCATGCGCTCAAAAGCCTGATTGGGCTTATTATCCGGGGAGGTCTTATTTTCAGGGAAACAGTAGTTGGGTCACCTTTAGCATGAATTATGGCTTTACAATGTCTTCCTATGGAGAGAACCAAGTCTTTGAGTTCTGCAGCTGTTATAATGTGACACCCTGATTGAATGATTGTTTCTATTAACTGGGTTTCATTCAACTGACTTAACAAGTTTCTTTAGTCGGCTCTGTAGATTTTCAATTGGGTTAAGCAGGTCTGGGCTATTCCCAGGTCATTCCAGCAGTGGAATATCATTATCTTGAAACTCTTCCCCCCCCCCCGAAAAAAAGTGGTGTTATTAGCCATCAAACCTCAAAAATACACTTTCCCCAAAAGGTTTCCACAATTTTGGCCATTACTGTAGAAAGAACATCCGCTGGAACAAAACTGGAGTTAGATCTGTTAGTTTTTCGTCCCCAGCCTAAGCAAAGAATTAATTTCGCCACACGTCAAACACACAAGGGGAGGTTAACAGTACACATGCCTCATGCAGGGACACCTCTCCCCCCCCCCNTTTTTACGTGCTTTCGAACTGCTAGGTTGGCAGAAGCTGGGACAAATAATGGGAGCTCCCTCCGTTATGCGGCACTAGGGATTCGAACCGCCGAACTTTGGATCTGCAAGCTCAGCGTCTTAGCCACTGAGCCATTGCATCCCTATAACAAAGGTCATAGGATGGGGCAAACCTCACTTAGCTGCCTTGCTTCGCAATAGAAATTTTGATCTTGGTTGGTGGCTGAAAATCAAGGATTCTCCAAAAGAGTTTCTAAAGAGGTTACTTTCTTTTAACTTCACATTGTTCAATTTTTCATGGGCTTGGTCTACTGCATGGAGCATCTTCCATTTTTTTTGCTGTGCCCCCAATGGAATGGAGTATGTGATGTCAGCTCGCTGGCTGGCACAGGTTTTCTCAGCTCCAGAACCAATGCATGAATTGCAACCAAACTGGCTTTTGTTGTTGTTGTTGCAAAAAAAACCAGCTTGCTTGCAGCTGGAAGCTTAAACCAGACACTGCATTTTGAGCTTGGTTCTATGCCACATTGGCACAATTTAAGGAGAACCTGTCCTTAACAGAAAAAAAAAGGAGGCTGCGGAAAAAGTAAGAAATTACATCTACTTAAAACGCTCTGGTTTCTTGGCAAATTTTCAGAAGCCGTTTCTCATTGCCCTTTCCTTGGGTTGAGAGGACTGGCCCAAGGTCAGCCTGTGCCGACGGCGGGACTAGAACTCGTGGTCTCCTGGTTTTTTTAGCCGGATGTCTGGCACGGACTTAACACTAGAACAAAAACAATGTAGCCTAAGTAGAATCAAAAACAAAAAGAAGATTCCATCCGCTTCAGCTCAGTTCACATACTGTATATAAAAGCCATGTCTTTTTTTTTTTTAACAAAGTTGGAAGGAATCTTGGAGGTCTTCTAATTCAACCCTATACCATTTTGGATAACCCTTTTGTCTTGAAATGATATAGGGTTTCCAACCTGAGCAGGGGGTTGGACTAGAAGACCTCCAAGCTCCCTTCCAACTCTGTTCTGTTCTATTCTCTATTCTGTTAATTCTATTCCATTCTCTAATCTGTTGATTCTATTCCATTCTCTATTCTGTTAATTCTATTCCATTCTCTAATCTGTTGATTCTATTCCATTCTCTATTCTATTCCATTCTCTATTCTGTTAATTCTATTCCATTCTCTATTCTGTTGATTCTATTCCATTCTCTATTCTATTCCATTCTCTATTCTGTTAATTCTATTCCATTCTCTATTCTATTCTCTATTC